AATCAAACTGCAGTATTTTAACGTGTGCTTTTTTCTCCTGCCCTCACTCAAATTGCAGTTACTAAATGAGATGACATTGGGTCTGGGAGGGAAAAAGGAATGTGTCAAATGAAACCACCACCCTTTCAGATAGCAGGAGACTCGATAGAGCTGGTCTAATGCTGTGCTTAAGATAAAAAGGGCATGCAGTAACTATTTTAAATGAGATAAGTGGGCTTCATATATCTTACAGGGACAGAGATAACTTTGTTCCTTTAACCATTATTATTTCTTAAAGCTTAGTTTTTCTCACACCTATACCTATACAACTCAGACCTCAGGACTCAGTTCTTTTGAATAGTGAGAGTTGTCATTCTTACCAGTAAGCCTGCTAAATAATACTTCTATAAGCTTCGACTTCACACAGAAGATAAGTTTGTCTCCCCTGACATGACTACATTAATCCACTGAATCAATTTACTTAAGCTGTGCCGTGAAGCAATGCAGCCACGATTTAACTGAGCTTAAAAGTACTTTCAAGTTGGAATCACTGCTCCTCCACATGTAATGCAGCTCTCAGGATCCCAGACTAAGTTGGATTTTGACCCTTTACAGCTATACGTAGTCTTGTTAGGTTTGTAGGGTCAGGATGCTCTAAAATCAAAAGGGATTTAAGGAGAAAGAATTTGAGTTGCTTAGAAAATCAGACTCATGAGTAAAACAGTAGCAGTAAAACATTTGGTGAGACACAGCTGGTATAATTTACTTATATTAATATTTATAAAATTCTTTAGGTTATTTAAGATTTTTTAAAAAGAATTTGTTTAGGAAAAAAAAACTACTTTAGAAAGAAATCTTTTAAAAATAGTTGCCAGTTCCTGCTTATACTCTGAATATTATTAAATACTATTATACTAAAAGTTGCACAAAATTTTAATAAAATATGTTTGAAAAGTTCACATAGTGAGCTGTTGTTTAAAGGAAACTGCCCATGTAGTCTCTCTCTCCTTCCATTTCACTGTTTTGAAAAGAAAAACCTAACTAAGCCTTTTCTCACCTCTGCTGCTTAAAACTTCTGCCTCCTGTAGACCTCCTCTCAAGCTTGCCATTGTTGTGACTGGCACCTTTGTTTCCCCATGTCTCCATTCAGAGAAGTTTTCAACTCTCATCACCACTCTGCTTCATTTCACCCTAACAATTCATTCATTACCATGAACTTGCTCTCAGAGAGCCTGAGCCATTTGTCTTTACTGTGGCCGGTCACTAGTCAGCGACCGAGAGGAAAACTCAGCACATTGCTAGGAAGAGACACCCATGTGGGAAGATGTCAGCAGGGGTAAAGGGATAGGGTGAATAAAACATGCTCAGTTTCCTTAGCAGACAGGACAGATAAGGAAATGTTTGGCAAAACGTGAAGTTGAATACCTCTAGAGAAGCTCTCGCCAAAGGGAATATATTTCAGTCATAAGGAAAGAAATTGCAAATAATGTGAGACTATGTTTTTCATATGGAATGGAATATTGTTAGAAACTTTCAAAACATATTTTCTGATTTATAAAGAATGAAAAAGAGTTCTGGTAAGTTTACTTCAAGTAGCTGTCATGGTAACTAACTTATCTTAATTACCAGAAGGGCCATTCAAATCTGATGGAAACCTAGAAAAGTGTGCATTTAAAATATTTGATCGTATATGTTACACCTCTACAGAATCTCTAGCATTGTCTATCCTATGGAGTTGCTTACAAGCTCTCACAAAAATATGGTCATAGTTTTAAACTTCAGGTCTTACAATAAATATTTCTTGGAGTAATTTAAAAATACATTTTGCCTTAGGATGCTGTGCTCTTTTAATATGAATAGGTAATTTATCCTTCAAGTAGCTCAGACAAGGTATGGAAGAGGACAGGGGTGAATGCCAAGGGAAAACAGCCTCTACTTCACTCTAGGGCTTTTGCTTGTTTCTTCCTAGACACTAGGTGTCAGTAGACTTCACCAGGTAGAACTGCCTAGGAGTTTCCCTCCCACAACCATTAATTCAGATGTAAAATGGATTAAGTTTTCTAGCATACTTCCTTTAGTTACCACACTATCAACAATTACTTATTGGGCCAAAAAATACTTAATCATTTCAATCATATTATTGTATTGAGCTTCATTTTAAAAATAAAAACTCTCCAAGATAAATGTATCTCCATTTTATAGATGTGGTAAGTGAGATTTAGAAAAATCAAGTCATTTTCTGTGACAGAAACTAGAAACTTCTGGGTTTGTATCATTTGACTGATTTCAATGTCCCTGACTACCATAAAATGCTATTGGAAATGGTATTCAGATAACAGTATGTCCTTAGACAAAAAACACATAGGAGGAAATTCTAAGTATTTAGCTGTGCAAATTTAACAACCTCTTTAACCATTTCTTCAGCACATGGTAAAATGAGGTTAATGATATCTTTCCTTTACCAGCTCACTATAGAAACAAACAACACAGGACAGGGATCTTAAATCCCCCTACCTACCAGAAGAAAGAGACATATTCCAATAGCAGCATTTCTCAGATCTAAGCTGCTTCATTTTCTCAGACCTAATGTGAGTCCCTCATAAGGAGACAAAATTTAGGCTGTCCTGACAGAGCCCACACCGCAACTAGCAGTTCTACATTAAAATAAGTAAAGAAAAAAAGGAAGCAGGCAAGTGAGTGAGGAGCAGCTTATTTCTGTTTGACAACTCACAAGGTTTTTGCAATGAAATGACCATTGATTTGTTTGCACTTCAATGATTTCCATGGTTATTTGTCACTTCACCACAATGTGTTGCAATAATTCTTTATTTTTTACTTATTATAAATGACCCTGTTAGTGTCAGCCCAGTGTTGTATGTTCTTGGTTTAAACGCCATTGCTATGAAAACATCGTCTCCAAATATTGTAGTGCATGAATTTTACACAGTAATCTAAAATTCTTGTCAAAACATTCCCTGCCATAAAACATTGTTTCTATTAAATAAGTTTTTTTAAATCTACACTGTGATTACTACATTCATGTAAATCTTTAGGAAAAATTGATGATGTCTGCTTTGCCCAGGACATAGGGAAACAGCATTCATACACATCCTTTCTGGTAGTGGAAATTATTGTTACCTCTACAGAGAGTAAGAACTCTATGTTGGTAATGTTGATCAATTGCAAATATGCCTGGCCATGACTTCTGCCAACTAATACTACAAATAAATCATTCATGTGTTCATGGATTGAATACTTCAAGTTCCTGTATACTGTAGTTTAGCTCTGGAATGTCCTCAAAAGGCTCATGTGTGAAAAGGCTTGGTCCCTGGCCCAAAGTGCCATCTGGGGGTAATGGGACCTTCTGGGAGTCTTGAGGCCCTCAAAGGGAATTGAGGGACCCTAATCCCTTTCTCTATTTGCTTCCCCTCCATGAGGTGATGGATTTTGCTCTGCTTCATGCACCCTGCCAGGACATGCTATCTCACAAGCCCAAAGCCAATAACCTTTCACCTTTAACACTGTGAACCAAACTAAACCTTTTCTCTTTGTATATTCATTCCAGGTAATTGTTACAGTAACAGAACACTGACTAACAAACAGTACAACAGGCAAAGCATTCTAATATTTGAATGAAAAATGGGCAGTGCAAATATATAGATATTTCCTTGGGTTTGCATAAATTATCTTTGAAGAATATGGTGTTTGTTGCCTATGGGTGGCTAAGGTACAAAAGTGGGATGCAGGTAATAAGAGAGTTTTACTTGATTCTCTTATATTTTATGAATTTTGAACATGAAAATGGTCATGAATTTTCAATAAAATAGTAAAAGTTCATTTATTATTGAGATTATATCTCTTCCTGTATTTTTCCTTTTGTATCTTATAATAAAATCATTCTGTGTTCCTTTTTAGAAACAGAATCTAGCAAAAGTCATGGATTGAAGCAAATTAGAATTCTCTAAACTTTCATCTGACAGTTTAACAAATTTTCACAATCTCTAATATTTGCATGTTAAATTCTTCAACAATATGTTCTGTCTTCTATGCTAATAAAAGAATTCATTTTCAAATTTTCACCACACGGTGTTTCATACATTATTTTAGTCATTCTTATTGCAGCAGGAAAAACAAATGATTACATTTAAATAGAGCAATTATTTTCCTGGGTTTTTGTGAAAGTGGTTGCTGTTTATTTGTTTCTCTGTTTTGAGGTAGGATCTTGCTAAGCAGACCAGGTTGGTATCTAACTCGCAATCTTCCTGCTTTAGCCTCCCCAATACTAGGACTATAACAGTGAGCCACAATATCCAACTTATCTTCTATTTTTAAAGAAGCCATTTTTCCTTAAGATTGGTGGAAATTCAATGCTGGTTTGAGTATCATGACTTTAAGAATGCCAAAAATATTAGATACAGATCTGGATAGTCAGTATGCTTGGTTGTTAAATGTCTTATTAGTGATGATTGTCTCATGTTTATGTTACTTAATGACTAATTCAAGAAACATACACTAAAGGTAAGATTCCTTGTTACCAATAGTGAATCTATATCCATGATTCACAAAATTTTTATCACTAAGCTTAGAACAATGCCTGGAACAGAGCATATGCATAGTGCCTTTACTTTCTCTCTCTCTCTCTCTCTCTCTCTCTCTAAATCAATGAACATTAATATAACTATTTGAGAAAGGTACTGAGCTATCCAGTTTACCTGAAATTGAATTAGTATCATTTTGCACACATTTGGATTTCTTACTTCTACTGAGAGTCACAGCTAACATTACTGCAGCTGGGCTGTCTGTGAAGGTCATTAGCCTACTCAGAGAAATGTAAGAAGCAATTATATATGATGTTTCATTTGAAAGCAATGAATTAGATGGTTTACGTGGAAGAAACAAATCTACCACCAGGAGGCAAAAGTTGATTTTGATGTTTTGGATGACCAGAATTTTAAAAAGGATCAGTTATTAAAATCTCTTGACGATTTCAAGCCTATGCCTTTTCAATGTTGCATACTCACAAGTCTGACAATGATTTTCTGTGGGTCCCCAGCATCGACCAGTACAGGATTTATGGCAACGCCCACCTGTAGAAGAGGAAAATGAGAGAAAGAGGTCACTCACATTGTAATCTTTCATTCACCGACTAGGAGGAACTTCTCAAGGAAAATACTCTGCACCTTTATGAAGATTTTTATGTCACATTAGAGTTGAGATATAGCCCATAAAAGGTCCACCTAAGTGACAAAACCTGAATATTCAATACAGGAGAAACTTAAGTGTAGTCTCCTGGTATGTAACACCTTCTTCTTATTTTATATGAAAAGGAAATTGATGAATTTGTAGTTTTTCTCAGAATGTCAGAAGTAAATAGTTATGCTTAAAATAAGTTTCACTTTGACTACTGAACATTGTTATTCTATTGATCTATTCTACTTGCTATCATTTCCAAAGTTCATAGCTTATTGATATCAACAGACATTAAAATAAAAATAATAGTTAAAAAAAGTTGAAGCTTATGAAAACAAAAATATGCTCTTTCCAACATATGACAGACACACCATTAGCATAAGAGGTAAAGTCAATTGTTTATGAAAGCTAATTTTAAGTACCTTAATTTCAGTTATTTAATATACACTTCTTAAATTTTTATTGATATCTGAAATTTCATATTCAGCCTTTAACTTGTATGGTGATAACTTAACCTACTATGGATATTGACTTCAGCAAACAGTTATCCCACAGAGAAATTTCCAGATGGCCTTAGCACAGTAAGAGCATTACCTACAAGAAATCATGCAAAATGACTGTCTTTAAAGTTGTTTCTGAATTTCCCCTCAAGTCTCTATGGGCACATGACTCATTTTTAGAATGAAAGAATATATATGAAACGCTATTAAAGACTAAAGCATTTCTTTAAAAAATGCTTCTTGTTTTAAACATTGTTAATTTTCTAATGCTGATTGCAAATTAAAAATATTTAACAAACTTAACCATCACACAAAAATTATCAAAGAGTTATACCAACTGTTTTCATTTTCCCTTTAAAAACCCACAGTTTTTAAATCCTTAACTTAGAAGTTCTTCCTACTTGGAGATATTTTTCCCTTTCTGTGAGTCTGCCTGAGAGAATCTAAGAAGATAAATTATTTCACCATTAAGAAAACATAGACTGATGGTTGACCCTTGGATGTGAACAGTGCTATGTCCAAGTTAATACAATTCTGGGCTCAACTCTAGTTTTCTATTCAGGAGTGTGGGATCTTTGCTCCAACAGCTTGTTTAAAGCAACTCCATTTGAGACGCACTGCTGCTGACATCACCAGTGTGTAATATCCTGTCACTCTGCCATCTGTTTATTTAGATCTAAACACATTATACCACATAATGCAAGCTCATTCTAGCTGACAGGAAAAGGACTCCATCTGGCCTGAACAATATAACTTTAATCAGTGATAATGATAATTATTATTAAAAACTTACTTGAGTTCCTTTGTACCAAGCTAATAAATCTAAATTGATTTATACCAGAGGAAATTAGAAAAGACTGTGAGACAAAATGAAAACAGTGAAAAACTTTTTGGAGTTCAAACTTTTATGAGCTAGTAGCTAATGTTAATGTGTTTTCTTCGATGTGTTAAAATCCTGTAAATTGATCCTTAAGTGGTCTGTTAAATGAAGATATCTGAAGTAGAGGATGATCTACCATTGAATCTAGGAATTCTTTAATTGTGTTTGAGGCTAATGAAATATTTAGCTTTCTTCTTTGTGGTCAGAATACTATCTAGTTAGTATTCTAACTAGAGATTTAGAACTCACTAGAGATTTAGAACTAGTATTCTAAAGAGAGAGAGAAAGAGAGAAACCACCTAAGTGACATAAGTAATAGCTATGTAAAATATTTTTATTTCCTATTTTTGAAGCTTCAGTTAACCACTAAGACACTTGCTCCCAGGCTCAATATAAAAGGCCCATAAATATGTATAATTTTCATATTTAATGTGTAAGTTTGTACATTTCCTATTACTTAAAATATTTATGGCTTTTGATAAGGTATCAGGGCAAGGCTTACTGATTTGGAAGTAAGTGATATTGTACCAACACACAAAAAACTAATATAAATAACTGTCTACTTGCTATTGTGAGATTTTGTTTGGTTGTTTACATGTTTCATTTGTATTTAAACAAAGATATCTGTTCCTATCTTTGGATACCACCAGCAGCTGCTGCTCTTGGATTTTACTCCTGTCTTCTACTCTGTCTATATCCTTTGGGAGCCAATGGAAGGTGCTCTATTGGCCCATATATTTCAGAATTCTATTATCACCAAGCACTGGAAGAGTTAGATTAGAAAGTGCTTCTTCTATAAATAATGGCTCAGTCTGCCTTACATTTTTGTCTTTCTGGAACTTTGACTCTTGGAATCTGCTGAGGTACTCAGTTCAGCTTTGATCTTCAAAATGGTACCATCTATAGTACTTGTATTAACTCTGTTTTCATTGAATGGTTATAATAAAGTAAATTTCACAATATCTGTCCAGAATCTCTGCCCAAACAGAGATTAGCTATTTAACTAACTTTCAGACCTATTACCTTAATTTGATTCTCCTGGATAATTGAATCATGCAGTTTTCTGGGATAATATGTTATATGTTTTTAGCCTTTAGTTTCCACCATTATGCTGCACAAAACTGTCAAAGAAATAATGAGGTAAAATGTTTCTATAGTAATTATCTATGTAGAGTAGGAGAAACAACTAAACTTCCTACCAGCTTTTCTTCCTACGTTCCCTTTATCTATCCATTCATAATTTTTCATAAGCACTTTCTTGGCTTGGTGTATCAGATGCTATGTCAAGTATTGGAGGCAAAATATTGAACTGAAACAGAGCTCATAGAGTTTAGAGTTAACTCAGCTTTATTCTACAGGGAAAGATTTTGCAGGGAAAGATTTTGACTACCCTGTATCAAATATTTATCCTATGAGTTTAAGGGCAAAAGACAATAAATCTAAATTTTTAATACCTTTTGCTTGCTCAGTCCAGAAACAAAGAATAGACAAGACTAAGTTGAGTTAGATTACTCCAATGTAATGCCTAGTGGCTTGGAATTCTGCTATGTTCCTTATACCATGATTTATTTTATCTTTGTGTCATCTAAACTGAGACTACCTCACAGCATTTCAACAGAGAGGAAAGATACAGACGCTGAAAGGCCCTTGTTTGTCCCCTACAATAGGCACAAATACCCAAAATTTTATTGGGGACTCTTTTCCTGCCCTCCAAACTCAGGTGTACAGTATTTTTAGTAGTCCCAATTTCATGTGGAAAGAGAACTTATATATATATATCTCGTGATTTAGTATGAGTTAGTTTAATAAACTATTCCCCAAAGTATTTTTTTTAACAAGGACTTTAGTTTGTCATATACTAGAATATGTAAAAGGGAACAATGTTTTGTGGTTTTAACAGTGTAGTACAAATCTGTCCATTTCCTTGCCTAAACCTGTTATGTGACTATTTTCCATTGTTTATTGCAATAATTCTTTTAAGGCCCTGTGAGAAAATATGACACTTTTTCACATACTAATTAAGAATCTGACATTTCCATATGGCTTAGTTATATGCTTAAGTTAATATTTCCTGTCATTCTGATTCAACCTAAGAGATGAAATAAAGAAAGACAAAATTCAAGCAAATATTTCTGTTTCTTTAGTAACTATATTAATCTTTTAAAAATAAGTGCTGATTATTCCAAATCAGCATTATTTTAATTCACTGGCAATCCCTTCTGCTTTGACGATGATTACTCATCATGGAAGTTAGAGAATGTGACTTAGTTCATATTTTATGCTAGTCCAGCAGTTGTTACTAAAAATGGAGCTTTTGCATTCTTTTTTAGGGAACTAGAAACCTTGAGCAGCTTTATATTTTTAAGAGTCATAAATTCATGCTTGAAGTTTTCCTTGTTTGTGTGACTGCCTGGCAGGAAAGATGAGATTCAATATTTACTTCTATAATGCTTTCTGCAAGTAATATGCCAGGACAGTTAAGTGTTACAAAATGTGAAGTCACTGGCAGACATAAAATATTATACCCTGAAACTGCCCCTAGCTAAAGGCAATCCAGTTACATCCCTGGATTTTTCTTTCAGTCCTTTAAAAAACTGGCAGTCTTGACCTCTTAAAACAACTTTTACAGTGGAAAGAACTGAGAGAATAGTATCTCTTTCATGACTGTATAATTCAAAACAGGACAGTGGAGCATTTATTGAAAGTCTACGCGAACTAGTGTTGGTGGCAAGTAAAGGATGAGTAAATCAGTACCCTTTAGGAGATTTCAGGATCCAGAATATAGGCAGAAAGAAACAAGACAAATAATTTTTATAACCATATACAAGTATGTATACAGTGGAGAGGAAGGATTTGAGAAAGGCGATACAGAGGCTACCCATTTAGTTATTGAATGCCTGATTTGTTCAGTGCAGAGGGGAAGGGAAGGAGAGTTGCAGAGCCAAAATTGACACAGAAACTGGGATGAGTACAACTCTTTGGGGCCATAAGGTGTAATTTAGGGTCTCTTGAGAGAGTTTGTATGAGTAATAGAAGCTGAAGTGTGAGTTTACAATGTGTTCCAACAGATTGGAGCTCATTTTGCATAGGTATTATGAAGTTGACCAAAGTTTGGGGACATTGAAATGACAATGGTTTGACCTGCAGGGTGAAAAAGTGTTTTGAATCAGGATTTTGAAAAGTTAGTGTTGACGGTTGAGTAGTTTGTGCAAGGTGTGGTTTTATATGCTGAGTTAAGATGCCAGGAATCTGTATTTTTAAGAAGCAGTAGTAGGGATTGTGAGGCTAATTGTTCCAAAGCGACAGAGTGTATAAGGCATGACCTGGTGCTTAATTTCAAACTTAGTTAGAGTCATGATTATCTTTTGACACAACCATGAAGTGTCAGGTCTGATCAGATCTCTGTATCCAAACTTTCAGATTAAAACAGCATAAAACTTAGCAGTTTCTCATGTCCCAGTGTTGTCTCCCAGCAAACTGTATTTTTTCCACAGCAGCCTTAAAACATGCATTTTTA